AAAACATTCGATTGCTATTGTTGGGGAAACGTGCTGATTAGTTTTTGGCAAAGGAAGGTTCAGCCGTTTCGAAGATACGGGGTAAAGAGTAATTAAAATGGTAATATTGTGAGAATGGAACGTCCGATGTAAATGATTCATAAACATATCCCTATATATCGATAAAATGAAGAATTGGTTAAATTTGTGAAAAAACAGGCCCATGGGTTCGGTACAAAAATTTGTAATGTTTAACCGTTAGACTGCGACGCGGCATTACTGGCTTTGATATTTCGTCTATAAAACAGCGCGTTCGCTTTAAAAAAGCATTTGAAAATTTTATATTACGGTGCGAGAAATTTCAGGGATTTGCCTTAAAGCACGATGCCATGCTCCCTCAGTTATTCGATAAATTGTATTCAAATATCCTTATTAACTTCCCGTAGGGTAAGTTATAGTAATCGCAAAAAAATCGAAAATGAAAATTTTGATATATCTTTACGTTTCAAAGGTTTCTGAATATTTTGGCATACCTTAGAAAAAATGGATGTATGTGTGTGTGTGTATGTGTGTGTGTGCGTGTATGTATGTGTGTGCGGATACAAATTTTCGTCGACGATTTCGGGAACACGGATGAAGCAATTTGAATAATTTAAAAAACATTCGATTCGTATTGATAAGGAGACGTGCTGATTAGTTTTTGGCGGAGGTAGGTCTAGCCGTTCCGGAGATATGGGGCAAAAGGTGCCAAAAACGGTACCTCAGTTTTTAGGAGAACGGAGCATCCGATTTTAATAATTCAAAAAACGTTTCATTTGTATTGACAAGATGAAGAATTGATCAAATTTTCATAAGGGCAGGTCTAGCGGTTTCGGAGATCTAACGAAAACAGTAAAAAAATGCCATTTGGCGGTCAAAAATGATCATTAGACATATGCACATCAAATTATCAGATACTTTATAGAGATTTTAACAATAAGTATAAATTTTGTTTACATTCCTATGGGTTCCATTCCAATGTTTACCCGTTAGACAGCGACGCGGCGCTTATGCGCTTTATATTTTGTCTCTATGCAGTTAAAGCAGTACGATTGCTTTGAAAAAAAGTTCAGATCTTCCAAAATATGTCAAAATAAAGAAAACATTTTTTTTTTCAAAAATAAAAGTTAAAAAAAAAAAAAAAAAAAATTTTTGTCCAATTTATAGTTTCTCAAAAATCTTATTTTTTTGAAATATTTTTTTTTCAAATCAATCGTTTTTAAAAAAATAATAATTTTTGGTACGGGAAGTTCCAGCAATTTGCCTTAAGGCACGATGCCTTAATTGCCTTAAGACAGAATTTCACTTACAGCTAGTTATGTATTTGTTTATCAATTGCAACTATTGAGAATCTGTGCCTTCCCCACAGGGTTGCAGAGCTCGGCCCCACACTTGCAAACATGCAGAGCAGAAGATGTGACGGCCGTAACCCAAATCGATAGCGATACACAACGCTCGCACGTTCATTCGCGTCGACCGAGTTCCACACCGGGCAGCCAGGTTAAAGAATAATTAGGTAATACGAGTGCGATCGGCGTATAAATCAGACGCATTACGAAAATAACATACATTATGCAAACACTTATTGTGTGAGATGGGGGGATGCTCCATGCATTGGAGGCGTGCAGCCCGAAGCAATGAAGCGAGAACTCGAATATCGCTCCACGGCACCGATAGGATTGTAGTCATGGAGACGATCTTATATTACGATAGATATATATTTCAATGCTCCGGAACATTGTGTATTGAATTCGTGGGCTTTCATTCATTTGCTTTACAAAGGGTTCTTGATGCTCTGCACAAATAGAGACACAAATTGTACACAAATATTCTACACACAGCCGCACATACGACATACATGCATACAAAATACATACATGCAATGCATACATACATTCAGTGATCCCTTGTACCAATTATAGTAATAAATTCCTTAAACGTGTCAGTTTTATAAAATCATAAAATTGGGCCTTCAAGTGTACATTATTTTTAAGAACAGATAAAAATGTTTTTTATCCGATGTATGAGGCCGCGAATACAATCAAAAATTTTCAGGAATACTATAGACGCGCCTTGATACGTCTCCAATTTTACAACCTCATAATGATTTGAAAATACCTTACGTTAACGAAGTTATCGAAGAAGATAGAGCAGTACCCATGTATCAAAAATTGATAGTTATCCCAATGATACCAGATTACTAAGACCAGATGATCTCATTTCCTGCTATAGAAAAACTAAAAAAAAAATGTTGGCTTATAGACCTCAATCTTAATTACAAAATTATTCACTGAAGTGATTTTTAAATATTGTTTTCAAATAAGCATTATTTAATTTTTCCATCAAAGCTAATTTCAATATTTCCAAACGAATGAAGAAGCACGCATTTTAAAAGAATAATAATCCAAAATATACGTCAACAAAAATAAAGAAGTTTACAATTCAAAAGTTTCAAGTTAAGCCGTAGAACCTCATGGTCGGGATATCAAATCAACAAATATTTTATAAAATGATCTATTCTTAAAAATCATTACGCATTGAACGCAATCATTGAAAAATATATACAAAAATAATGGCATTAAATTCCACCTAACACCGCGTAAAACTTGCGAAAATGCTAAAAACTAATCGCAAGCTTTTAAAAATGCGATGGAGTTAGAAACATATACCAATCAGTAATTTTATCACTATATAAGCAAAGATGTTGTGATTTAGTGAAAAAAAAACGACTGCGTTTCCGTTCCCTCGATTAACTAACCTTACGATAATGAGCTTAGCCGCTCTCCTGTGCAATTTTTGGATATCCCCAAAATTGTGAATAGCGCACAAAGGAAAGCGTTTTTTGCAACAAAGCGAGATAAAAAAAAAGTGTTCAGAGCAATGTAAGAGAAACTCAATATCAGTTTCAAAATGTGTTTCAAAATTTTAAGCAATTTTGCCAAATTCTGACACAAATATAAAGTACACACATACATACACATATATATATATATATATATATATATATATATATATATATATAAAATTTAGATTTTTTTGTTCGACGTTGAGACCTATTCTTGAATTGTTAATTCACAGTTAATTAAAAGATTCTTAATTCGACGATTGGCTGCAAACTATAGTTATATATATATATATATATATATATATATATATATATTTATATGTGTGTGTGTGTATTTGAAAAATAAACAATCTGGAAGTGTGTATTGTATTGAGTTGTTATATTTATAGCTGAATATTGTTGTTTATATTTCACAAAATTGATGTTTAAATTATTTAAATGTATTTGTATTAAGTTCATATTATGTAACATGTAAAATACAATGTTCAATATATTATATTTTCAACAAAATATCTTTAATTTCAGTAGTTAAATGATGTTAACGAAAGCAAAATTATTTTATATATTTTCAGAAATATTATCGCTTTTGATCTTGTACTTCCGATTCCGAAAACTAGAAAAGTATTGTAAATAAAGTTCGGACAAAAAACGTTACTTTTCAATAAAATCCATTAAACCTTTATTGAGTCAAAATCAAATAAATTTATGATTTCATAAAACTGTGTAAATTTTATAGTTATTTATAGAAAACATATTGTCGAACTAGAAAATCTTTCAGAATAAGTTGCATCTAAATGCCAAATTGATGCATTTTCAAATAATAATAAAAATACTAAACAACATATTAAGGCCCAAATTAATACACTCATCTGACAAATAATTAGTTTTTTATTTCATATAAATATATTAAATCAAATTATATTTTTCATTTAAAAGTAGATTTAAATTATAATAATAAAAATCTCTGCAAATAAATTATTTTTATTGCATATATTGCAATGAAAATCTAACGAATAAACTTAATAAGAAAAATATATCAACCTGCTATCAAATTTCATATTTGGTTCAAGAACTTCCAATAGTATTTGGAACTAACTAAATTATCACTATCAAAAATTGTTCAAATAAATTCAAATAGATATTCAAAAGAATAAAATTATCATTTATCACAATATAAAAATGAGAAATTCCCGCATTGGCATTTTTTTCTTTTTTCCCATACTGTTTCAGTACTATGATTTTTATCAGATAACAGAAATTCTTGAACAAAATGTTCTAATGCTTCTCGAACCCAACAATATTCTGACTTTAACAATTAAGAAAAACATTCTTCAATAATAAACATTTTTTTGCTCTTATGAAAGCATAACAACATTCTCTCCTAAACTCATCTGAAACCTAATTACAAAAGAAAAAAAATGTACCTAAGAACAGTAAGCTATAATGATTATAAATTGATAATAGAACTTATGCATTAAAAATTGAATCTGAATTCAAATAACTTCCTATCTTTAATTATATATACGTAAGCACAATAATGCTTGACCAAATTACTAGTGAAAACTTCATTTCCATTATAATTAAAACGATGGCATATCTCTCATCTCTAATAAGATTGAGTAAAATGCATCAATTTACACTTCATTAAATTATATAGTACCTTTAAAATTAATAATAAAATCATAGTTTCACTTGTCCGAGTCAAATTTATAAAACTATTTCTGGTTTATTTACGACAAAATAAAAAAATGCATATCGAAGAGATATTGTGCCCGAAAAATAAAACCGTGATGTCGATCAATTACTTGCCTTGAATAAGTGCTTAAAAAAAAAAATGGTCGGCGTGCATTGACAAAGAATATACCACTTTAATCATTTACAATTAATAAAACGGTAGATAAATGTAAGAAAAAAAAACTATTAGAATTATATTATACACTATACAAGATATTACTGTGGTATTCGAATAGTTTTACTTTAATCAAACTAACTACGTTTATATTGGCATACATATATATATATATATATATATATATATATATATATATATATAATGCCAATAATTATCACAAATCACTTCATGATTAGAATTCATTTTCTTAAATAACCTAAGCCAAGAATGCTTCTTAAAATAATCGAGATATAACAAGAATACTATACACAACAATGAAGATATAAGTATATATAACTCTATACAATGGTAAGTACTAGTACATCAAGTAATATATAAGTAGATTGCTTGATATACTATGTACATGAAACAATATATGTCTGTAGCAATAAAATAAAAGAAGTATATATGTAAGCTGCAAAGATAAACATGTATGTATCTTTAATGACCTTTTTTGCTCTTCTTACGCTTGCGTTTCTTGTCATTATCCAACATTGCCTGCTGCTGCTTGCGTTGAATACAGTGGCTACAGTACCAATCTTCGTTTGTGTCTGGAGGAATCTGAATGCCAACACAAACCCTGAAATTATCAAAAAATGTGCATATAAAAATAAAGAATAATTAATTTATGTGTTAAATTAAAACCAATGCATCAGTTATTCAAATTCTACTTATAAAACTAAAAATATGAAATAAGTATGAAAAAATGAAACATACCAATGGTACCAAGCATCACAATCATCACAACCTATCATTGGACTGCCATCATCCTGACGTCCACAAGCAGGGCAGATCCAAACTTCATCACCATTCTGATCCTATAATATTATAATAAATTGTGTAAAAAAAAATTGTATTTATTTACAACACCCAATACCAAATTATGTTAAATGCAAAAAAATATAGATATACTAGTTTATTTTATTTTGACAATAACATAACTTGTAATTAAATTCTCGGTTAATTATTATTTTTTAATATGAAATTAATTATAATTATTATTTCTAATTTTTACATAAACTGTTATAAAAATCAAATTTCAATATTTATTCAGTATTAAATAATAACTAATATTCAAAACTATTATAGTAAAAGGCAGGTTCAGATTAAAAAAAAAAACAGTAAACCTAAACTTACCACGGATTTAGTTGCTGGTGGTGGTGGCAGAGGAGGAATTTCCACAATTGCAGACTTGCGGCTGCTTCTAGATTCACGCGAGGCGCTAGAAGTACTAGCGACTGGTTGATTTGGATCCTGAACGGACGTATCAACAGAGTTGTTCAACTCTAAAAACGTAAAATTGATATGAAAAATTAATATTTTGTAGCATGGCTAAAACATCTAAAACGAAGAGAAAATTTATAACAATGTGAAATTTTAATCTATATAGATTGAATGTCTGAACGAAACTAACAATAATATAATAATAATAACTATATTTTGTGATTTTGAGATTCAAAATATTCTTACTTGGTATTTTTGGTTTCGGAGGACGAGTGTACAGCGCCGATATTTTTGCAAGTTCCGGAGAAGGCTCTCGTACCGGCCGTTCAGGAGTTGCGGCCTTTTCAACTTCAGCCCTTGGAGCAAGAGGCTTAATAGTTCTAAATAAAATTTAGCCCATAACGTTAACAAATATACTTTATGAACTTAACGAATACTTATTTAATTATGAAATATTATTCTTTGTAGTAATATAAATAAAGCTCATACAAAAAAAAAATAGTTTCACCAACAAACCTCTCACCTTATTATTTCAGACAATCATTAGAGATAAAAAAAATTTACTTACATCTTGCGAGATCCGGTCGAATCTGGTGTCTGTGGGCGAGGCGATGATGGATCCATTGGTCCAAATTTAAGCGTCAACTTAGGAATTCCTCCGTCTGCTGTATCTCTCTAAAATTTATTGCAAAAGCTCTTTTTGAATAGTTATCCTTTACGTTTCAAAATGTAATTCAGTATAAACTGTTTCCCAGCACTCACACATAAACAAAATGGAAAATCAACCGAAAATGACATAAATCTCATGGCAAATGATTTACAATTAGAGCTTTAGATACGAATACGTTTGGCAGCGCATGCATTTTTAGAAGTTGTTCTCCAGACAATTTTTCGCGTGATACACTTCTCGGGTTTTAAAGAATACTAATTTTTGTATTTTAATTTTTTTTATTATTTGCAAAGAATGTCAATGTTTTCATAAGATTTGCTTGAAAAAGAGCTACATAAGTCTTACCTTGTATGAAAGATAAAAAATATGTATCAGCTAAGTAGAGCAATTCTTCAAATAAAACAATTGCTTTATACTAGCATTTATTGTTAACAACACCTAATTTATCAATTGCAAAATCCACTGCCTTGTAAGGGTCGCGACGAACTGATTCAAATCAAGATGCTTATCGAATAAAATCCTTTTATATATTTTTTTGTTATTGTCAGCTACAAGTGTTATGTAAAATTTGCAGTTCAAATATTTATCATGATAACGACAGTTGAATTAATGAAAAATGATTAATTCAGAAGTGTATATTTTTGAGATCACAAAATCCAAAATATTTCTAACCAACAGTTGAATGTGAACGATCAACGCAAAACATGAGGAACAAACGAAACGTATTCATTGTTACTTTCCTTCTGACAATACATTTTTCACCGATTCAGACTGCACAATATTCATAAAAAATGTTCAGAAAAATCCTACCGTTTAAAGACATCCGGTGAGTGTTTTAGTCGTACATGGTACCAGAGATCGTCAAATGCGTCTAATACAATGACTTATGTTACTTACTAATCATCACATCGGTGTATCACGATCGTACTTGATGCGAAATTATGTCCAAATCCTTCCAAAATCACTTAATCATGCATTGTTTTTTTTTTTGACTTGTGAACAATCTCGATTTTCATACAGATGAATATGATGATTAACCAATACTTGAAGGACCCCATAAGGATGGAAGTGAAAATATGGATAAATGGAATTCAATGTTATTTATTTTATGATATATATATTATTTATTAAATATTTACAATATATATAAATGAGTACATTGTCAAAAGTGTTATTTTAGTTGTTGATGTTCCTAGGAAAAATGTTTTATTAATGCGTTACAAGACCACAAAAAACAATTATATAATGCATTTGAATGTATGTGGTTGAGATGACCAGAAAAAAATTAAAATTAATAAGTACGTATTTATATCACAGTAAATTTTCTTTTTTTTTTAAAAAAAATAGGTCGATAGAATTAACTTAAAAAAAATTTAAGCCAAATTTTAAATTAAAAATAAGTTTAGTATGGCAGCAAGTCGCTTGCATTCACGCATGAATTCACGTTGCAACAATCGATATTAAAAGTCTGAAGCTATGTTTTCAATGTTGTTTAAAAAATGGCAACCTTTTTGACTATTTGTGATACACAAAACTATTATTGGTATTAACAATGTAAAGACAATTGTTGAGAACTAGTTGTACATAAAATTAAGTATATGAAATACTACTTGAAACATTTTTAAATTA